TACTCACACAAAGACCAGAGTAGGAGCACGGTCATGAAGAATGCCAACATCTTGTCTGCTTCTCTGAATTTGTTTCAACCCTACTGAAGCGACAGAAGCAGTACCAAAACCAACTTGTCCTAGATTTCACCACATCTGTAAATTCTGACTGATTCATGACTTTTAGTATAGAAACATCATTTACCATAAAATGGAAAGGGGGCCTATGATGGCATCTGCATCAGCAGAGTTTAGAACAGGTGGAGGATTGTGGGCTTGTGTTTTTTATGTCAGCACAATGGAAACTGCAGTCATCTGGATTCAGTGAAGAAGAAGACTCTTAGGCAGTGGAAATTCTTTCTGGGCTTGTTCGGGCACCGCTAAATTTTAACTCAGCACCCATGAAAAATAAAGAAACCATCATTACAATTTTGTAAGGACGCTCAGTTCTCAAACCTTAATTCAGACACGTTATTACAAGAGTTTAGGGGGTGGAATACAGCTTATTCCATTTCCAAAATCTAAATGGATTCGGGAAAAATGTAAAAGATGATGAAGGCCAGTGGCCGACCTCATGATCAGCTGAATACAAGTTATAAACAGGAAGTACCACATGTTCATCTGTATGAAGGTAACTGCAGGTAAATCTTCCATTTTATGTCATTATTACATTGTATGCTTAATGATTAAATTAAAGGTTAATGCTTAAATCTAGTTGTTCTTTGCTTTGTGTGTTTTGTATGTAGATATATGTTACAACTTCTGGTTGCAGTATTTGTTTGCTATGTTCCTTTAAAAATCCTGTTTGAGACAGAGCTCCTCGTTTACAGCCATACCACCCTGAACACGCCTGATCTCGTCTGATCTTGGAAGCTAATCAGAGTCAGGCCTGGTTAGTACTTGGATGGGAGACCACCTGAGAATGTAAGCTTTTGCACTTCTCAACAACCACACGATGGGCTACATTGTTTAAGACAAGAGTCACTGTCTGTACTGGGGGATAAGCACCCCTAAAGGTCAGATCCTAGAAGCGCCCCTGTTCATAGGACTGAAAAATGACAATAACACTGTTCACCACCAGAATGACCCCACACACCCAACCGCTCTTAGTTCAAGAAGACTAAAACAAAACAAATTTATTGACATTTAAAAGAAAAAAGGGTTTACATGATTGTTAAAAAAAATTATTAGTTGTTCGTTATGCCAATAAAAAAAATGTGAATTATTATTTGGAAAAGGAGTTTGCATGTTCTCTC